TACTACTGTTTCATGAGAAACTATTTGTTCTGTAAGCCTTCACCTGAAGTACAATAAAAAAAAAAAAATTAACTTTCAGTTTTTTTGTGTTTCTATTTACACAATAAAGGAAACCAGTATAAAATCATTAAAAGAAGCTTGGGTTTCCCTTCCATTTTTTCTGTAAACATTTATGGTGAAAGCAGTTTAATCTAGGAAATTCAGTCCTGAAATGACTCAGAGGATACCTTGTGTAACTTAAATCTTTCTGCTTCTTTTGTGAGCCAACATTAGGTACCTTTAAATAACTCTAGTACTCCCCTCTGTGGTCAAAAGAGGAAGAGCAGTTGTCTGAAAGGAAACGCCCAAATTAAATACTGCTCATTGCCTCTGCCCTTCGTGACATTAAATTGATATTGCAAGAATAAATATGGTACTGTTTACATAAACAAAGTGAAAGGGAGAACTAATGCCTTCACAATGATCCAGAGACTCTAGAAAGACTTACCCCACAGATCACCTAGTTCATTTCTACACATGAAACAAATCTTTAGAGAGCTGATGTTATGTGCTCTCTTCTGTCTCCCTACTCAAGCCCTTTCTACTGTCATCTATAGATGGGAACATAGAGATATTTAATTAATAACCACTCCATTCTCAATTCATCTTATTTAAAGAGTCAGAGTTCATGCTGGGGGGAAATCTTAGTGATAGCACATAGATATTCAGTTCCACAAAAGAGGGATTCAGAGTTTTACATATTTAGAGCTTTAGAGATTCACTAAAATTGGGTAAGGCTTATTTTTATGACAAACACAAGGAACTCAACTAAACTATAAATGGCTGTACAGTGGTATTAGTTATCATTTTTAATGCCTCTATTCTTAACAGATTTATCATCTAAAAACTGATGTCATTTTCTAACTTTAAAAAGAAACAAAGTTTAATAAAAGGAAGAAAAGACATGTAAAAGAACAATCAGTAGGAATTATCTACATAACTAAATCAACAAACAATAATAAGTGACTTTGAAGTCTTTGTGTACCCACATTTGGGAAAGGAGCTAAAAACTGCTCTAAGAGTACGAATTAATATTTTGTCAAAGAGGAGAAGTCCACTGTCAGGGCTGGGAGAAAAGGAGAAGGACTACCTGGCTCATTAAACCACAGAGGTAGCCACCACAATGTCTTTCCATTGTTTTGGAGAGGTAAGAACAAAGGTGAGGAGGGAAAAGGAGGGAAGCTGTTACGCCTCTGTGTCAAGGGAAGATCAACTGAATATGTTCTCCAGCATCATTTATTCATCCATTCAAAAATGATTTAACAAATATTTATGGAGTCCCTATTATATGCCAGATAGTCTTCTACCAATCATGGCAAACACAAATGTGTGTAAGACATAATTTCTGCCCAAAGAACTTTCAAATCTAGGGGAGATGAGACACACATAGGAGAAAAGAAGAGCTAAATATACAAGAGAAGTTTAAGTGTCAAAGCAGAGGTGCAGACAGTAAATACTGTAGGAGCTGGGGGTGGCATGGGGTGAAGTTGAGGGTAAAGATTATTACTGATGGAGTATTTAGGAAGGACTTCAGAGAAAAAGCAGATGGAAAAGGTAAAATGTCAATATTAAGACTGTATTTGGAGAAATGTTCTAAATAGTCCACTTGTCAGCCAAGAATTTCTTGGAACTTGAAAGACTCTTTCTCCATAGAAAAAGTTTCATAAACTATGGAAGTATCTTGGGCCAGTTGAACAAAAGTCACCTAGTCCATAATGGAGCCTCCTAGTGACCTGGTACCAAGCCCATCTGAGGCCTGAGCTGAGTTCCCATGGGCAGAGTTACAAAGAAAGAGAGAAGAGACAAGGATATGATCTGGGCACCAACAAGACAGGTCCCACCACCTACACCTCTAGAAGAGCCTTCAGTGGCTCTCCCAGCAGGGATCTGAGGCCACAGAAGTCGAGACAGCAGTGGCCACGCCTACCCTGCAGCCTTTGAATGGTCAAGTATTTGAGAGCCAGTGCAGTTTATGCTCATTATTAATGGGCCATTGAAAGTAATGATTGATTGCAACCATGGCAATAATTTTTATAAGAAAACTAACATTTACTGAGCACCTAGTTTGTGCCAGGTACTATAAGCCACTTTCCATTTCTCGGCCATATAATCCTCACAACTATCCTATGAGATAGATAGCATTAATCCTATTTTATAGATGAGGGGATGGGGGCTCAGAAAGGTTAAACAATCAGCCCACTGTCACACAGCATGGGATTTGACTTTGGATCTGACTCTAAAGCTTTTCCAGGGTCTCTGCCCACACACCAGGCTGCCTCTCTGAAGTGCCAACAAGAGCCAGCAAGATGGAACTTTCGCTAATCATCAGATACTTTCTTTCTAACACGAATGATTTAAATCCTTTCAGACCAGCAGCAGCAACAAAATCCAAAGAACTGACTTCCCCTGTGTTAGACCAATGGGGCTTTGTGTAGATTTCTTCTGGGGGAATCTTTCTAAAAAGATTTTAAAAATTAATCCTCTGACAGGAGTGACTGTTTTGTTGTTGCTTTGGGAGTTATTTTGCTAGCTGCCTTTTAACTTTGCTCTAGCTTAATCCGTTTAAAAAACAACTGTCTAAGGAAAAATTAGAGAATAATATCAGAGGTACACAAAGATAGGAAAAAGCTAAGACTATTTTTACTAGCCCAAGCCAGATGAAAAGTATACGTTCTACTGACTGACACACATTTGAGCAGAGAAGTCAGAATTTCTATTTCTACTCTTTACCCAATAAGTTTTACAATACATTAAGGGAAACTAGAGTATCAGTACTTAGAAAGCCTTTAACAACCCAGACCTTCATAAAGGGAAGGAGAAACAAATAATACACAAATCTTCTTCCTTATTTCTATATATTGGAAGAGAAAGGCAGAGAAATAACCACAGTTAGCACTAGAAATGCGTTATGAGTGTTTATATTTCATAGATGGAGCCCTGGTGGCACAGGGATTAAGGTCGTCAGTTTGAATCCACTAGCTGCTGCTTGGAAACCTATGGGGCAGTTCTACTCTGTCCTATAGGGTTGCTATGAGGTGGAACTGACTCGACAGCAACGGGTTTAGTTTGGTTTCGGTTTATTTCATAGATAACAGATATAGAAAAAGAAGATCTGTCTTTACTTTCTCAGGTAATGTAAGCAGTAGCTTAGGCTAACATGAGACCCTACTGACCCAGGAAACCAGCGTGCACTGGACGTGAAGTGACAGACAAATCTCTTAGCTTTAATTTAGTTAATGACGCTTTAAAAAGGAACAGCTAAAAAGTCTCTGCTCTTTTTAGAAGTATTGTGAGTTCCAATGTTACTAGCTTCATTCACAGGGAAGCTTATGGGACCCAAGATGCCAAGGAATGCAAATGGGAGTGGCACACATAGAGAATGGGTACAGGAAAGACAAAGAATGAATTGTCATTGGGTGCCAGCTGGACTTACCTCACTGAATCCTCACAACAACCTTGAAGACAAATAAGACTTACCATTGATTGAGTACCCAAGTCCTGGGATCATGCTGGGCGTTTTATGTACATTCTCCCATTGTACTGATAAGGAAATGAAGGCTCAGAGAGTTAAGGAGATCCTGTAGCCATAGATAGGGGTGTCTGGATTTAAGCCCAGTTCTGTCTGAAAACTATCCTTTTACCTACTCTCTCCCGAGCAAAAGGTGGGAGCCAGGCCTTATTCATCTTTGCAGTGCCGACTCTAAGCACGTTGCCCGAGTCACAGAAAGGACTCCATACGCAGATGTTGTCACAACTAGCCCCAAAGAGCAAGCTTTTCCTTTGGCCCATTACACACTGTCTGTCAGAGGACAGAATTCACTTCAGATCTCTGCTTTGCCTCCTTTGTGACCTTATCAGATTTCATTAGGCATTTAGTTTTGTTTTTCTATCTAACATCCAGATCCACTGTAGTCTTTTTCTCCCCATAATAAGAAAGGAATGGGCTGGGGAAAAGAGGAAAGAAAAATGAAGGGAAAAAATAAAAGTTTAGTAGACCAAAACGTAACCCTTGCTTTTCTAATATACTTACAGGAACAGCACTCGACAGAGAAGCCAAAAGTAGTTAGAGCGCATAATTGGGACTTGTTTGTTCATGTGTTTCCATCTTTATGACATCCAGCACAGCCTGAATTAACGTCTGTTTAAAAGAAATAAATACTGTCAAACCACAACTTTGTGGCCAAGAGTGATATTAATAAACCACAGACCATGTATTTTTCTTTAATTCAAAAGGTATTATTCCTGCCATTCCTGGATTTGGAGTTCAAGGCATGCTGAAGGATGTACATACTTACTGATAGTATAGAAATTAGGGGCAGGGACTCTGCACCTTACTGCCTTGGTTCAAATCCTGGCTCAGCAATTTGACAGCTACGTGACCTTGTACAAGTTACTTTAACCTCTCTGTGCCTCAGTTTTTCATCTATAAAATGGTCATATGATATGATACCTACTTCATAGGATTGTTGTGAGAATTAAATGAGTTAGTACCTATAAAAGTGCTTAAAACCGAACCTGGTACATACTATGTTTTGATAAATGTTATCACCTTTTTTTAAAAAAAAAAACAAAAACCTCTACTACTTCTACTACTCTACTGCCGTGGAGTTGAGTAGATTCCAACTGATGGAGACCCCATGTGTGTCAGAGTAGAACTGTGCTCCATAGGTTTTCAAAGGCTGATTTTTCGGAAGTAGACCACCAGTCCTTTCTTCCGAGGTGCCTCAGGATAGACTTTAATCCCCGACTTTCAGTTAGCAGCCAAGTGCATTAACCATTTGCACCACCCAGGAACTACAAATAATCCCCTGCTCTTAGGAAAATGCAAGAAACACAGAAACACAGATCCTTGGAACATTCAAGAAAAAACCCTACCCCCACCTGCCATGCAGGTTCTCAGCCTATACAACATGGGAGAGAGAACTGCCAAGCCAGTATATTATCAATACAAACTGACACTTGACTTGAATAGTAGCAGCTCAGAGAAGGCCACCTACTGAGGTTGCTCCAGGTTACCTCACCACACAAACTTCATAATGCCATTTTTTTCATGTGGCGAGTTCTTCAGATTTGCCTTTGCGAATGGTCCCTCCCTGTTATGGGGAAGAAATTCAGATACTATAACATTCATTAAGTTACTTGTGTACTTTTATTCTTAAATAATTCAGGTTTGTCATTGTTAGCTGCCATGGAGTAGGTCGCAACTCATGGGGACTCCATGCACAACAGAAGGAAACACTGCCCAGACCCATGCCATCCCCATGATCAGTTACAGATCAGACCATTGTGATCCACGGGGTTTCCACTGGCTGATTTTCAGAAACAGATCGGCAGGCCTCTCTTCCTAGTCTGTCTTCGTCTGGAAGATCCACTGGATAGATATCTTGTCATCTTTCATGATATCAGGGAAGTTTTCTGCCAACAAATCTTCAACCATTCTCTCTGTATTTTCTGTTATCCCCCTCTGTTCTGGTACTCCAATCACTCATAAGTTATTCCTCTTGATAGAGTCCCACATAATTCTTAGGGTTTCTTCATTTTTTTTTTTGAACATTTTATCTGATTTTTCCTCAGATAAGTTGGTGTCAGGTACTTTATCTTCAATCTGACTTCCATTGCCTCAATTCTGCTCCTATGGCTTTCTGTTGCGTTGTCTAATTCTGAAATTTTATTGTTAATCTTCCGGATTTCTGATTGCTGTCTTTCTATGGATTCTTGCAGCCTGTTAAATTTATGCTCTTCTCTAATCTTTTTAATTCCCTCTATTGCATGTTCTGTGTTTTGCTTAATTTCCTTCCTAATTTCTTGAAGAGTTCTATATATTAATCTTTTTATTCTGCCTCCGATAATTCCAAGAAATTTTCCTCCTCTGGAAAATTTCTAGATTCTTTATTTTTGGAGCTTGCTGAAGCCATCAGGGATTGCCTCTTTATGTGATTTGATATTGACTATTGTCTCTGAGCCATCAATAAGTTATTATATTTATTTATTTTATGTTTGCTTACTGTGTCCTAGCTTCTTGTTTTGTTTTGATATGCCCAAATAGGCTGCTCATATAAACTAGTTTGATTATTGGCACCTTTGAAGCTCTAATGTCCTGTCATCAGGTGGTTAGATCTGTTACTAGGTATGTGAGCTCAGAAGTCTGCCCACTCCTCCTGTACGGATGCAGCTCAGGTGCCCCGATAGCCACTAAGTCTGTGGTGGCTCTCACTTACAGTCCTAGACAGGCATGGGTGACTGGTGTAGGCACAGGCATCTGGCTGTAGCAGTGGAACACACTCTGAGCTAGGCAGGGGGCTGACAGCCGCCCCCGAGTGCCCAGAAGGAAGGTGTGTCCCTGTTCCCTAGAGCACATAGGTGGGTAGGTTTTGCAGCCGGACTATGAGCACCTAATGCAGTTGGCTGTAAGGACTGGGGGGCACCTCTTATTCATGGGCCCCTCTCGCAGGTGGCTAGGTGGTGTGGGTGGAACCACTAGTCCTCAGACCCCTGATGTCAGTAGGTGAAGACCCTGCTTAATGGGCCGAGCAGTGCCAAATGTCAAGAAACTGCCACTTCACAGCTGAAACAGTTGCAGTTAGAGTTCTGGTATATACCCTGTTGTACTGTGGTAATGAGGGCCTATGCTGTTGAGATGGGCCCACACAAGTCTATGCAGGGCGAAAGGCACTCAGAGTCCATGGATCCCTTATGCCTGTTCCTAGGCAAAGGAGCTGTGCCTACCCTGGGTTCCTGGCTTAGGGGAGCTGGCAGTTCATTTTTTCCCCATTTGTTAATTTGTTCACTCTCCAAGGCAGGGAGAATGGCTCCGGGTGTGTGACAGATCCTACTTCCAGCTCAGGGGACTTAGTAATTGCTAAAGCCAATCTGGGACCCAGTGCAGAGCAGGGAGCAGGGAAGTAAATGGGAGAGAGGTTTCTTCCTAAGGGAGGTGCTTTTGATCCATGAGGTAGGCCATGTGCAAGTACTTATCTTTCGTGGAGGGCTGCTTCTCACTGATTCTGGGTGGCCGTGTAGACTCTCTGCAGCTGAGTCTCTCCCAGTGTGGAAAATGCGCCTCCCTATCTCAGCTGCTTGCCTGCCTCTCCGCTCAGCCACGAGCTGCTCAGGCCTGGATGGCTCAGGCTCTCACTGGATCAGGTCTGGCAACTCCTCACTGCTTCTGAACCATCTCTCTCTCCCCCTGCCACTCAGTCCAGTTCCTCAACTCTGCATTTGATATTCAGGGCTCCCAGATTGCCATATATAATTGAATCACTTGTTTCTTTCAGGTCTTTGTTGTAAGGGGGTCCACCAGAAGCATCTGACTACTCCGCCATCTTGGCCCCGCCCCTAAACTGCCAACCTTTTGGTTAGTAGTCGAGTGCTTAATCCTTTGTGCCCGCCCCAGAACTCCTTGGCAAAAAGTAAGTGCCCCATAAAGGTTAGCTCATGTGTCACGGTTATTGATCTTATAATAATGGAGTAGTAGAATTGAAAATAGTTTTTAAGTATAAATTCCACTTACTGGTGGTTTCTATCATAATTGCAATATACGTTGTTGTAGCACAAAGCTATAAAGCCTGCACTTACACCTCTGAAAATCATATAGATGTATTTCATTCTTTCATTATGTTATTCTGTGGGGTGGTAAAACTCTGAAATGAAAATACTGGTTTAATATACAGTGTATCTAAAATAATATGGGAGAAATCACACAATTTACATTTATTATGTGATATATGTATAGAATATTAAAAAAAAAAAAAAGCAAAACCAAAAACTTCTACCCAGCCTTCTGCTTAACTAGGCCATTGAAATCTACTTAGCCAGTAGAAGACAAAATAATCTTTCATTTTCTTTTTAGTCCACTTTAAAAAAAAAGTATGAGTATAAAAACATAAGCTCAGTGTGAACACTGCTAGGGAAAAACAGAGAAGCAATACAAAAATTAAGTTAAGCTGCTTATGAATGCTCAAGCTGGATTCTTTTTCAAAGTCTTAAATGTTGGATTAGCTTCAGTAAAGTTCAAATTTTGTCTTTATTCACATAGCAGTTAGCGTGACTATCATTAAAAAATGCCCCATTTCTATAAGAAAAATATACTCTTCTAGAAGTAGTGTCAGAAGGGCATTTTAGCTGGGGCATTACAAATCCTGTTTACTATATCCATAAATTACAGATTTCTCTGGATGCATTTTTTATACACATGTGGCCTTGCCTCTAAATCTTGAAAAATAACTGCAAACAAAAATATGTGTTTGTTGGCATTGGCTTGTAAAACAGAAACAATAACTGAGACATAGTTTGTCAACGAAGGGGGCTGCGGTATATTCAGGAGAGAGATACATAAATATTCATACGCATATACTCTTATTCTAAGATTATCTTCCTCTCCAGTGTTAAGTAGAGTTGTTTGTAACACTTGCTACATAACTAAAAACAAACAAAAACTTTCGATATTGTTGTTAAATACTAAAAGGTTCAAGTTTTTTTTTTTTTTTTAATGATACTAACAATGATAACAAACTCTTAAATATAGTCCTTTCTGTGTACCAGGAGGAGTTCCTGGGTGGTGCAAATGGTTAATGCACTTAGCTGCTAATCAAAAGGTTGGAAGTTCAAACCTAGTTAGAGGCACCTCGAAAGAAAAGACTGATGGTCTACTTCTGAAAAATCAGCCATTGAAAACCCTTTGAAGCACAGTTCTTCTCTAACACACATGGGGTTGCCATGAGTCAGAATCAACTCAGCTACAAATGGATGTACAAGGCACTTTGTCCTAAGCGCTTTACAAATATCAAATGTTTAATCCTCACAACAACCTTATGAGGTAGGTATTATAAACCCCATTTAACCCTTTGGTGATGCAATTCTTTTCTGCTTTGAATTTTTTGTAATACATGTGTTTTCATTAATGGAAGCATGCTAAATGATGGAGTGTGTCTGAATTTTTGGTAAGTAGTATGGATTTTTTTTTCTTTCCCCCTCCCCCAAGTCTACCCTAAGTGTTTAGTAGTACATATGAAGTACCACTAATTATACCCCAGAGTTCCCACCAGGGTCTATGGGTACATATGTGTAACAAAATTTTTCAAAATTTCTGTTTTTCCTACCAAAAATTCAGACACCTCATATAATACCCTGTAAAAACAGTAATTTGCAGCACACGCCCATTTCTTCAGCTTCAAGTAGTCATAAAGGCCCCTGCCTTGTGGCAGCACGCACTGTCAGCAGCTTCCCAGTAAACCCCAGAGGCTGAAAAAGTTCACGGTTGCTATATATACCACTGGGCACAAAAGGGTTAACGGGTGAGTAAACTGAGACTGAGAGGTTAAATATCATGTCCAAAATTACACAACTGGTGACTGGATTTCAGCCCCAGCAGTCCAGACCAAATGAATCCCATCTCTGAGAGTGAACCTGGGCATCAGGTAGTTTTCAAAAGCCCCTAGCGGGGATTCTGACAAGCAGCTAGGGTTGAGAACCATTCATCTGGAGATGTGGTCCTCGAATGGCAGCAGCAGCAGAACCACCTGGAGGTTTTGTTAAAACACAGATTTCTGGGCTCCACTGTAATTTCTGACTGACTGGGTTCTCAGGTGATGCTGGTGCTGCCCGTATGGAAATACACTTGGAGAACCACAGATCTAGACTAATACTTGGGACATCAACTCCTAGTGCCTTGCTTTTTAAATCATACCACATTACTCCTTAGCATTTGAAAAAGAAATACCTAGTGGCAGTGGCATGAAGAACAAAGTCTACCTTGTAAAGCTTTATTTCCGTTTCCTGATATGCCATTATTCCCACCTGACCCTGTTGACATAGTCAACTGTGTAATGATGAATAAATCAATGAAAAGCCTCAGAATTGTGTTTTATGTTGTTGTTTGTAACCTCAGTTTTATCTTAAGATAAGTACCTCTCTTGTTGTCGTGAGAATATAATAATAATATATGTAAATATGTCCAGCACAACGCTTATAACAAAAATGGTTTTAATTAATCTCATTTTTTAGCAAAAACATAATTTTAGCAATCTTTTATTTTTTAATTTTTTCCCATACAAAAATTTATACATATATTGTTACGTGACTCTAATTGCTCTCCCCATACTATGACAGCATACTCCTCCTTTCCACCCTATTCGCCACGTCCATTCAGCCAGCTCCTAACCCTCTCTGCCCTCCCATCTCACCTCCAGACAGAAGTTGACAGTTTAGTGTCCTGCATCTTTTTGAGCTAATAGGCACACTCCTCACGAGTATCACTTATGTCCCACAGTCCAGTCCAATCCCTGTCTGAAGAGTTGGCCTCGGAAATTGTTTTAGTTCTGGACTGATAGAGAATCCAAGGGCTGTGCTTTCTGAGGTTCCTCCAGTCTCAGTCAGACCATTAAGTCTGGTCTTCTTACTAGAATTTGAGTTCTGCACCCCACCTTTCTCCTGCTCCATCCAGGACTCTCAGCTGTGCTCCCTGTCAGGGCGGTCATTGGTGGTAGCAGGGCACCATCTAGTTCTTTTGGTCTCAGGCTGATGAAGTCTCTGGTTGATGTGGCCCTTTCTGTCTCTTGGGCTAATACTTTCCTTGTGTCTTTGGTGTTCTTTATTCTCCTTTACTCCAGGTGGTTGGGACCAATTGATGCATCTTAGATGGCAGCTTGCAAGCTTTTAAGACCCCAGACACCACTCACCAAAGTAGGATGCAGAACATTTTCTTAATAAGCTTGTGATGCCAATTGACCTAGATGTTCCCTGAAAGCATGGTCCCCAGACCCCTACCCCTGCTACTCTGTCCCTCAAAGTGTTTGATTGTATTCAGGAAACTTCTTAGCTTTGGATTAGTCCAGTTGTGCTGAATTCCCCTGTACTGTGTGCTGTCCCTGCCTTCACCTAAGATAATTCTTATCTACTATCTAGTTAGTCAATAAGCCTCACTCTCCCTCCCCACCCTTGTAACCATCAAAGAATGTTTTCTTCTGTGTTTAAACCTTTTCTTGAGTTGTTATAATAGTGGTCTTATACAATATTTGCCCTTCTGTGATGGAATAAATTCACTCAGCATAATGCCCTCCAGATTCCTCCATGTTATGTTTCACGGCTTCATCGCTGTTCTTTATCATTGCGTAGTATTCCATTGTGGGGATATACCATAATTTGTTTATCCATTCGTCCATTGATGGGCACCTAGGTTGTTTCCATCTTTTTGCTATTGTGAACAGTGTTGCAATGAACATGGGTGTGCATATATCTACTCATGTGATGGCTCTTATTTCTCTAGGATATATTCCAAGGAGCGGGATAGCTGGATCGTATTGGTACTTCTATTTCTAGCTTTTTAAGGAAGTGCCAAATCAACTTCCAAACTGGTTGTACCATTTTACATTCTCACCAACAGTGTATAAGTGTTCCAGTCTCTCCACAACCTCTCCAGTATTTATTATTGTGTGTTTTCTGGATTAATGTTAGCCTTGTTGGGGTGAGATGATATCTCATTGTAGTTTTGATCTGCATTTCTCTAATGGCTAATGATCATGAGCATTTTTTCATGTGTCTGTTAGCCACCTGAATATCTTCTTTGATGAAGTGCCTGTTCATATCCTTTGCCCATTTTTTAATTGCGTTATTTGTCTTTTTGTTGTTGAGGTTTTGCAGTATCTTGTAGATTTTAGAGATCAGATGCTAATCCAATTTGTCATAGCCAAAATTTTTTTCCCAGTCTGTAGTTTGTCTTTTTACTCTTTTGGTGAAGTCTTTTGATGAGCGTAAGTGTCTGATTTTTAGGAGCTCCCAGTTATCTAGTCTCTCTTATGGTGCTTGTGCATTGTTACTTATGGTTTGTATTGTGTTTATGCCATGTATTAGGGCTCTTAGCATTGTCCGTATTTTTTCTTCCATGATCTTTATCATTTTTTATTTTATATTTAAGTCTTTAACCGGTTTTGAGTTAGTTTTTGTGCATGGTGTACGGTATGAGTCTTGTTTCAGTTTTTTGCAGATGGATACCCAGCTATGCCACCATCATTTGTTAAAGAGACTGTCTTTTCCCCAATTAATGGACTTTGGGCCTTTGTCAAATATCAGCTGCTCATAGGTGGATGAATCTATGTCTGGATTCTCAATTCTGTTCCATTGGTCTATGTATCTGTTGTTGTACCAGTACTAGGCTGTTTTGACTGCTGTGGCAGTATAATAGGTTCTA